GCTGGGAGGGATTCCAACCATACCCCCCCCCACCGTGAGCTCAAACTTTCCCTAGCTTCTCCTCACAGTCCGACCTGCTCTTCCCCAAACTCTACTGCGAAACAGAAGGATTTATCGGAGTATTCATATCTTTCCAGGCCACTGCTTATTCCCTAATTTGATGGTGCATCCCATAGAACATTGCAAAATACGAATGTAAGAACGATACAGAAGAGGCATCAAAATTTATTGCAAAAAACTCCAAAGATCTCGAAGAATCGAGAAATTTTTGCGGGAAATTTTTGTTTTTTATTTCTTCCTTTGGGTATATCGGTGCTTAGCGACTTCTTCAGCGATCTGAGGTACTTTATGGGAATGTTGTTGTGCTGGGCGCTGTTTGTCGACGGGGGGCATTTTGTACTACCATTGCTTCCCTAGTTCCGGTTTACAAATCTCACCCTGGTAAAACTTGTGAACCCTTGTGAAGCTGGTGCAAGATCGTCTAGCCACCATCCTAAAACGTGTCAACTCGAGAAAAGGCTACCTAGATGGGTCGGCACATCTATGGAAAGCAGAATGCCCCCCTCGACAAACTGCGCCGTTGTGCTGCCTCTAAGTGACCGTTGCCCTGATTCCGCTGGTGTGATTTAGCTGCACTTGCACGAACTGCGCCTTGATGTGTTGACCCCTAGGAGTAGGTCACTTAGTCAATACTAAATAACAGTAAGGTCCTTTGTGAACCATTACCGCATAGAAGGTGCCCTTAAATGGCGTATATCCGGGTCATACACATTATAGGGCACACAGGAATACAAGAAGGAAGAAATATGAAAAAAAGCAAAAAAAAACATAAGAGGATCCGATCCGCAAAGTACCAGAGTTGATCCATCCCCCTATCCACCTTACCATCCATCCAATGTGCGGAGAGATGCAGGACCCATTGAAAAGACATGCGGAAATGACCAAGAAACTTCAATGTAGCTCACCACATGCCGAGTAAAGTACTTGAATTTTGACCTTATTTTGCGTTTTTTTTTCATGCCTGCTCAAAGAACACCTCATATACTATACATTGTCAACGCTACAGCTAGAACGGAAGGTGAATAAGGTGGTTTAAATCGCCCTTTCTTGTCAAATTTTTTCACTCCTTCGTTGGCATTCCCAATAACGTTTAGCAAAAATGAACCCATCTGTGTGGTCCATGCATGGATTCCTACATAATGCAACAAAGCGTTTCTAAAAAGCTCACCATGACCTGAACGACCTCCCTTGTAAGACTTCAAGCTGCTACTCCCGCAAGAGAAGTTGAACCACACCAGCGGAAGCAGGCAACGGTCACTCGGAGGCAGCACAACAAGGGAGGGAGGGTATGGGTCATTTGGAGACAGGCACAACAACATTCCCATCTGCAGTATTTCAGATCGCTGTGGAAGGTGCTCAGCACCAAAACATTCAAAGAAATAAAAAATAAAAATTTTCCGCGAAAACTTTTGGATCCCTTTAGATGTTTGGGAATTTTTTGCAATAAGTTTTGGTGCCTCGTTTGTATTAATCTACATTCACATTACAATGAGGCTCCTGGACAGCACTATACTCCGATATGCAAATTACCTCCAACTCGATCCGTTCCACACTCTCACGTGATTGCTTGCCTATTTTCTTGACTGCGAAATTCTCGTTGGTGTCAATGTCCGTGCAGAGTAGGACCTGAAACTTCTCGCTTACAAACCATATGGAATGTAATTACATTGTAACACAATTCGGGCACTAGGGGGGAGGGGCAGGAGACCAGATGGCACCCATCTCTGCTCGACCGCGTTCTTCGAGACGGAGCTTATTCGGCGTAGGACCATTTATCAGAAGATCGCAGATAAACAGGAGGCAGTCGTCGTCTCGTCTCGCTGCCGTTTGTCTCCCCTCGATTGCACTACCACCCGTTCGGATACACTTTAGACAACAACGGTGTGTCCCCCCGCGCCGACGTAAGGTATTTATCAATTCAACATGCAAATAATAAGTTTCTGCGCGTACCTGACTAAATCCACCTTCCGCTATCTGTCTCACAATCTTGATACGGTAACCTCCACCAACCAGATCCGCACTCGACCACACGCACCCCATCGATGACCACAACCGTGAGAGCGCCAGCTTTTCGACAGATGTTTAGGAGGCCCTTGCTGAAATACCTGTCACAAAAATCAGTGGGGAAAACGCGGTAAAGCACCGTAAAACACCTTACAGCAAGCGAACAGAGAGTGTTTAGGACCGATATGAAAACAAATGATAAGTGATAACAGTGTATGAAGTCAGAAATTTGAAGGACAATGAATTTCCTGTATAGAAAGAGGTACTAAACCAATGAAACTTAAAGGCACATTTCCGACAATCGGATGGGCAGAAAAATGGGTGGAGCCTTACGATTACATTTCTCCTCCTACGACAGCATCTCTATTGGTAAATAATGAATAACGACTATACTAGACCTCAGGCTGCGTTCATACTTCGCTACTCGAGCCACTCAGTCGCGCGATTCTCGAACAGATTGACCGCGCTCCATCGCTATTCGTAAAATCGCTGCTACTTCCTCGCTAACTACTACTTTGGTCACAATAAGTACAAATTTGTGAACTTTGCAGCATTCCAACGATCACAGTTGCGGCTCGGTTAATCGCAGTCGCGCGACGGAATCGTTCAAATCCCAAAGTATGAACACAGCATAATAGAAATCACAGGTTAACTCAAAATCCAAACTGAATTACCAAATAAAGAGAAGAAGAGTGAGCCAGTTCTTCAAAAACACCGTTGTTCGCACACTGTCATTAAGCAGAAACCAGAAAGAAGGAAATACTGAGAGATTTCAGGTGAATACCGTAACATTTCCAATCACAACACGTATAATAAAATGCGTTTATCAAAGCTGGTATACATGAAGTCTATACGTAAAATCACTCTCAGAGCAGCTATTAAAAAAGGCGTACATAAGGCACAAGGCATTGAAAGGCAAGATATATTAGAGCACCCTTATTCATATACATATTAAAGCGTATAAAGAGACCTCGGCACCTCGTGCTGGTGAATGATTGCACATATTCTACAGGAAAATATAGAATATGCACAAAAGAGTAACAAACTACGATCAAAGCTAAGTGCAGCTTTGGCAGTGGTTGGGAAAAGCTGCGCACACAGTCAAAACGGCTTGAAGATCAACTGTACACTTACCAAACCGTGATCTGACCCTTGCCGTGTGATATTTGCACCGCCGAAGGCCACACGACGCCTAACCAGGGGGCAAACGCGCTACTCCCTGCGCCTTTCACTTCTGGCTGTTCTCATACCACCAAGTACGTGTGTTTCTCACCGGCGGTGACCTCAATGCTGAGGCAGGTTTTATATTATGCGCCGCAGTTCGCGTGCCGAAAGAATGCTGACAAAAGTCTTACCCCAGACGGGAGTCCAACCCGCACCTCGCATTTCCCAGGCGACTGCGCTATCCCTTACGCCACCTGGGTCGCTCCTGCCCTCGCAGCTCCACGGTTGACACAAAAGCTGCAAGTTGAAGATGCGCGGCGGGCGTAAGGGCGACAACTCGGGTAATCACTACACTCCATTCGTTCCCCTGCAACTTCAAGCGAAAAAGTAGCCTGTTACTCCTGCCGCATCGTTCGCCCCACAAAGGAAAAGGGAAAGGATCCACGGAGGTAAGCGTACAGTTCGTCTTCAAAATAACAGATTATCATGAAAATCTTAGAAATTCAAAACATGTTAGCAAGAACGCTGCGAAACTAGAGGCAAGTTTCAGAACAACAGAGAGATGTTGACAAGGCGGTGCATGAATCGAGAAAAGAACTCTCTTTCAAATAACTGTGCATACTTTACAAAATTCAAAAAAGTGCAGTGAAAAATAAAACACAAGGGAGGGGTTGAGTTACGAGAATCTAAGGCACCTATTAGATAGGTTCGGACTAGATAGAAGATTATGGCAAATGAAAGCATGTTACTTCCGAATGAATTCAAGTTCAACCTAGCTCTTCGTCTACAATTCGTCCTTTTTCTCTCGCATTACGGAGCCATGCTCCTCCTCCACGACCACGGAATCCTCAGTGTCACTCACATAACCTTCCTCATGGGTGTATCGCTGAGGAAATACGCTGAGTGGATACAAAGTGAATGCGCGGAGATCTCGCACGGGAAAATGTGATGTCCATTCCTGGAAATAAGTCAAAATCAGCACTTCACCTGCACTAATCTATTCTCAGTTGCAAGTCACGTAAGATTCACTCATATCTGCCTTTCTGGGAGGCAATTTCTCATATAAACTTGAAACACTTCCAGAGTATTCTGTAACGGGTCTCTAACTCTATCCAGGACCCTTCTAGGAGGTAACATTCGCACAATTACCAAACGACCATTCGGAAGAGATGTTACGAAGCTGGCGTTTCAAATTTTGTGGCAGCGTCCATCAGCGTCTAACAACGTCCACAAGCGTCCGGCAACGTCAGTGACTTCGAAAGTACAGATATCGATCTAGCGTCTGCCAGCGTCTACCAGTGGCCGGGAGTATAGGGTATGGGGAGTTGGTGGGTAGCAAACAGCTAAATTAGGGTAGTGGAATTGCCCAATGCAAAATGCAACAACACCGTACAACTGCTAAAGCACAGAATTATGCAGTTTAATGTTAGAGCTGCTAGTCAAGTTAGTTTATTACTGTACGGGCGATTACACACCGGCGGGCAATTTCCTAACACAGCTGTTTGCCTCTTTCCTACTTCTCCATATTCTCCGCTGAACGTCGCTGGTCAAGCCGGAAGACGCTAGATCTATACCTGCACTTCCCTAGCCCTGCGTAAACCGCTGCAGACGAGACGCCAAATGGTCGACCTTGGCAACGCTGCCGCAAAGTCTGAAATTAGCCTGAAACAGTCAACACTTGTGCAACTCTCTTTCATATTCCAAGTTTAAAACCAGAATTTTCGAAGGAAATTCGCCCAATTTATGCAGAAGGCTGTAAAAAAAACATGGTCGTACTTCATGTGAAAGGGGGGGGGGGTGTTTTGCACTTCTGCTGCTTCTCCTGCGCCACAAACATTCTAGACTCACTTTGTTTGGATGCTTATTGAACATGATAGGAAAGTACTCGTCGACCGGGAGGAGTTTGTCCAGCGGTTTTGCATCGAGAAGGCGACGCGCTCCTTCTGCCGATAGAATGTAGCCGAGCGTCCAATATGAATAGCCTACGGTGCTAAGATGTCGGTGATTTCGTACCCAAACTTCTTCCTAAAGCACATCTACTGGATTTACCCTTTCTTAAAGACACATGGTACGCTCAAACACATTGGGGGTGTATAAGACTATCAGCCCCCCAGCTGTCGATGTGTTGTGGTCCCCCGCCCAAACATGCCCAGGAATGGAGATACAGGACCGTGGAACACGCTAATTCCTCCATGCTCCGCCTTATGCCTTTTTTACACCGGCGCGCAGATTCCCGTCCTTCATAACATCCGTCGTAAGCGCGCGTGTCGCGTGCGGCTCCTTGGCACTTTGCCAAGTCCTTTAATTGCGCTCTCAAATACAAGTAAAACGCAATTTCCTGATGCGGATAACATTGGAGGTGCTACAAAATAAGAGCAGAAGATGATGAAGGGGCCAGAACTCAAGAGCAACTCGGCTGCATCTGCAGTATCCATCAGAGGCCGCGCATTCCCACAAAACATGAGAATAAAAACAGCCCAAGCGTCCCACTCGTTTGTTCTAAGTATTTCTATGGCTTTGGCGCCGGATTCGCGGATCAGTAGAAATTAATCAGGGCGATTTCAAGTAATTTACTGCCTTTTGATTTTTTGCATTTGTTTGGTATTTACATCACTGTTGTGCTTCATTTCTAGCCTGTGTCATCTTCATCTCCTTGTACATGGATTTTGAAGCATGAGCAACACCTAAAATTTTATTCGCATCAGGAAATTGCGTTCTTGCTTGTATTAAACTAACGACTATGCCGTTTTTATTTTCATGTTTCGTACACACGCAGCCTCCGAGGGATGTTGCAGAAGTGGCACAGTTGCTTTTAAGTTCTGACCCTCATCATCTTCTGTTCTTATTTTGCAGCACCTCCAATGTTATCCGCATCAGGAAATTGCGTTTTACTTGTATTTGAAGCGCAATTAAAGGACTTGGCAAAGTGCCAAGGAGCCGCACGCGACACGCGCGCTTACGACGGATGTTATGAAGGACGGGAATCTGCGCCGCAAAAAGGCATTGGGCGGAGCATGGACGAACTAGCGTGTTTCACGGTCCTGTATCTCCATTCCTGCGCATGTTTGAACGGGGAAACCGCTATGCTTCGACAGCTGGGGGGCTGCTAGTCACATACACCCTCAATGTGTGTGAGCGTACTATGTGTCTTTAAACCAAGTTTATTGCCTGGGGGTGGGCAGTTGTCGCCGACGTCAGTGGTAGAAGGGCTGAGTGGGATGTGGCCAAACGGCCTCTCGCGGCCCTTCTACCAATGACGCTGGCAAGCAATCGTCCCCCTCCAGCAATCGTGCCCATAGAACCAGCCCTTCATCTGTTACCTGGTCAGCTTGTTTCTTCCGGCCCAGATAAATAAGATCCCATTCCGTTTTCGATTTGTCAAGATCCTCCAGCACCTCTCTGATCCTTTCCAAGCCGCCGTTGGTGAAACGAAGATCGTCCTCAAAAACGGCTACTCGCGAAAGACCAAGCTTCACAACGTCCTGCCAGATTCTGAAACAACCTTAAAAAACTGGCAAAATGAAGGTCTGAAAAACTACCGCTATTGCTGATAAATTCCAAATGCACTGTTGAAGCGACAAGTCTGATAGGTGGAAGGCGGAGCACTCCAAAAAGCCGTGCAAACTTTGATGACCGTAATACGAAACCCTTTTACACCAGAAAGTTTGCTAACCCATTCGGGAGCGCTGTTCCGTACGCTTACAAGAAAACCCTACTCTCCGTTATTCTCCGGACAACTTGCACCCCCTTCCGTCAACACCACCTCTTCATGGCCTCCTAGAGCCCTTTTCAATCCCCTACTACTTTAGAATCCCATCACTTTCATTTTCTAAAACGCTTGAACCAACCTATAATGGCTTAGAAAGCATCCGATTTCGCCAGCTTTGATTGGTCTCTTATGAAATGGGTCCATATATCCAGGTAGGACTCGATACGGGTAGTCCTTGGGTAGATCCTGCCCATCAGTCGCCTCCCAATACGTAGCATCAACTCCTTAAAAGAAATATCAGCTTTTTTTAGAGAAAGCGGACCACACGACCTACGGCAATACTAAGCTTTTTCAGGACTTCAGAAATAGCAGGAATCTCACCGAGAATTTCAAAAATTTTCTCCATTCTAAATCTTCTCTCTGGACGACGTTTTCAGATTGATCATATAGATCCTGCAACACGTGAACTCAGTGAAGTTCATGAAAGTAATACAAAAAGATTCAATCCAAAGGAATTCATCTATGCTCTTCGGATTGTTTCGGTTCAAACAATACATAATATAAACACCTCTCGCTACTGTAATTTCTTCTTTTCCAGAAAACTCAACGCCTATCAAGAGACCTTTTCCTCTTTTACCGAATTCTGTGGAAAATCTTCGTGAACGTACTTTTCAACATCCCATAACTCTGGCTCTGGTGTCCATGGACGAACCGAATGAGACGCCAAAGGAAATGGCCCGCCATCAGCAATCATATCAGCGAGAAGGTAACGGAGCTGAAAGAAAAGAAAAATCAGCTCATTCATTTCAAAGAAATTGCTCAGCGAACATATACGACGGAAAATCCAGCCAGCGCCGTTCGGCTTGGGTGAGGAGGGAAAAGGGGGGGGGGGGCATTTTTTTACATTCGCTACTTCCCATCGTCATATTCACTGATTTACAAGTGCTGACAGGTGGTCTCTACAACTTTGATTGGTATCACTTCATGGCTTCACAGGATTTCAAAGACTTCTACTTGAGAAGCAGCGAAAGCGCAGAAGGCGGTCTCTCCCCTCCCCCCTACCCACTCTCTGCGCCGAAAATAGTTTCTTGGTATATGAAACCTTATTAAAGTACTCTAAAGCATTCGGAAATTTTTTGGGGAATATTGGATCCAGCTTACTTGCAGGTATTCTACAAAAGAGTGGAGGAAAATAGAAATAAATAGGGAGTGTAGACCCACAAAGTCTTTCTCATTTATGATTCTTACTAAATTCTTAATTAACAAAACGTGGACCGAATTTTCGATTTGCAAGGTCACGGTTGCGAATCCTTACTGACATCTGATTATTTC